AATATTTAAAGAATTAAATGAGTTTGGTGGATATTTATTTTCTTGCTCTTGTCTTCTTGTCTATGTTCATTCACAGTTTACAATTACACCTCTAGTCGCTTTTAACGTTCTGATTTTACTGCGCAATTCGTATCTATGAGCGCTTTGGATTTTTATTGAACCTACTATTATTTTATCTTTTTTTATTTATTTCCAAAGTTTATTATCGTCAGTTGCAGTTACGTTCGCATTCAAATCAAATCATTCTTAATGATTTCCTGTTTTAACGATTTAAAAGTTCCCAGTAACAATGCGATGCTTGTCTGTTCAATTTTTCTTTCGTAGGGGTCTTGGTAAAGTCTACAGGGTAAAAAAAAACTATATTGTATTTGTAATTCTTATATCTACAAATACTAGTAATTTAAATATGTTGTAAATGTCGACTCTCTAGACATAATTAATAGACAATATGGTGATAAAAATAGGGTCAAAAAATAATTACACAGTTCTCTTGATCACAGAGGTCTTTTCTTCTTACCATATTATAACTTAATAATATTTACCTTTGATAGCTAACCTCCTTGAGGAGTTGCTAGAGGGGCTCTACGGGGCCTCACCTCAGTTGCATACCGTAGAAGAAACTTTTCGCATACGGTGACGTTATATATCTACTGTAAACAGTGACCAGTCAAGAAATAATCATAGAAGCTGTCATCATTAGCCTGTTTTGTTCGAGGATATAGGCTAAACTTGAAAGACGTAATCCAACTGCTATTTTAAACGTGAAACTTTTTAAGTATTGGTGGGATATTTGTTACTTATTCATATAAAAACTACTGAACGATTGGAGTTTGCCACAGAGATATACAATGTATAAAAATTACCACGTGTATATTACAAAATAAATCCGCTTACATAATTAAATAGGTATGTTTAAAGCATACAGGTAACTTGCGGGGAAACTTAATCCAATTTAATTGGTTCACGTTGATGTGAGTAGAAAAAGTTAATTAAGATTAAACCGGAACACTTTTTGCGATGTAATTAATATTTTTTGTGTTACATCGTGGTGTTGTAATATATTATGTAAACGAATTTTGTAGGGAAATGTATGTGAAAAAGTAAAAGTTGGCCTTAACTGATACGTACCTTGTCGTGGTGGTCCGGAGGTTAAGGAGCCCGCTTCTCATGCATGGGTTCGAAACCTAGCAAGTACCAATGTGACTTTTTCCGAGTTATACATATGTACTTTCTATGATTATTAAGACACCACTGACATACGGTGATCGTAAACATCGTGAGGAAACCCGGACTTATAATTTCTAATTATAAGTTTGAAATCGCCAACCCGCTTTGAGCAAGCGTACCTCGAGTGATACAATTACGGTAATCCTTTATTTTTTAAAAAGAGTAACGATGTGCTTCCTTTCTCGTTCTTTTTCCATTCGAATCTACAATTTGAAATGAGCACCTAGCTTCACTGACGAACAGACAGACAGACTAGTATTCTATTTTGATGTTTCAAAAGTACCTATTTATGGTTTAGTTGGAATAAATGATTTTGACTTTGACTTTGACCTAATCCCCAAAAGGCTTGGGAGAGCGGGGGGGGGGGGGAGGCAGCCAATCCGTTCCGCTCCAGTTTAGGGCCGCACATTCTGGCGTTTGCATCCGCAACGCAACTTACAATTCTGGTGTCAATGCGCTGATTGCTTACCATCAGGTCATGCGTCTGTTCATTAGCCACCTTATTTCATAAAAACTACTAAATTGAAAATATGGGACGTACTAAATTGAATGCATTACCAAACTACATACAAGTTTGTTGATCAATCCATCAGTCTATTAGTGGATGTGCTGCATCTTACAAATAATATTTATTTCGTATCGAATTTATTTCTGAGAACAAATATTTGTGAGATTGACTGTACATTATCTACTATGTGTTTAGTTTTAAAATATACTGTAACTGTAAATCATCTTCATACGATTGTACCTACTTAGTCTTGTTAATAGTATAAATATGAAAGTTTGGGAGGTTAATTATTATTTATTCGCGTAGAAACAACTGAACGGAAAAAATGTCATAGATTACATCATATAATATACACATCTTATAAGAATTACTACCGACTTTAAAGCAAATTCTTTGTAAATCTTCGTGAAAAACTATTAAGGAGTTTTAAGGTGGAAGTGAAACATATATGACATCCATCCATAATTCAAACTTTCGCGACTATAATATTACAGGATTAACGCGATGGGGCCGCTAGCTGTATCCAGGATAACAATAAACATTACGAAATTCTTGTTTGCTTAACTCTGAAGTAGACAGTTTTTTTTCTCTATCAGATATCCATTTTTCAGATATTCTGTTCCTAATGTAATAGGGTCGCTCCCTAAGTCAGCATTTCATGTAGACATTTCTCTAGGCATTGTTGTATATACAGCCGAAACTTATCCTTTATTGTGAGAAAAATCCCAATGATATTTCATATTATTCGGTTATCGATTTTCCTGATTTCTTACTCAGTCTGTATGGTTATGGCTGTAACCTATTTTTTTTATAAGCATATATGGTAGCGTCAACTTATAGATCACAGTAAGCAATCGACGCCGCTTATACTATATAAGGATACTTGCAAGATGTAGAAGTTACGAGTGCGTTGGCAGCGTTATCGAGACTAAGCATTCAATAATTTGGATTTGAGATTGAAGATGGAGGAAAGGTAGCATTGAGATTCCAGTTCCAAGTGAAAAGATTCGCTAGTAAAAAAAAATGAAGGTTAGGAATATTTATGGAAGGTACTTAATGTGTTTTTGTATTAGAGCTTTGCATAGGATTTTAATTCTATCCACATTGATCTAACACTATCATTTCGGTAAATCAGTCCAAAGTAAAGAGAATCAACATTTGAAATACATATGCAGTTTACAATCGTAATACAGTTTGGGTTTTAGAAAGAAAAAAAAAGATGGTTTCTTTCCGTGCCTACATACTTTTTTCTGAAAAGAGTCGTGATGTTATCAGCCTAGTAAGACGAGTATGACGACACCAACACTGATGGCCACAACATGAATGATGGATGATGGATGAAAATGTGTAGAAAAAATAAACCAGCAAAGTGTACCGCGAGCTCAAATAAATCGGGTTATTTAGGATCAAGGTCATGTGATGTGTTGTTTTTATATAAATTTATTGCATCGTTATATAAATAAGATATTTAATATTTTTCTTACGTTATGATCAATGTTTTTGATGACACTTTTAGATTCGAAAATATTATTATTTTACAATGTAAGAGATGGCGCAGTGTAAGCGCTGGACGTGAGACATCGATGAATCTTTTGCAAGTACAATTTGGAAGTAAAATTAAAAATTGTAATTTCGAACCTGTTGAAAAAATTAATAAATTAATTAGAATTTTCAATACAATAAATAAAACAACATATACTTTCATTCATCGATCTGTCGACACACAAAATTTTCGATCTTTTTAGCAAATTTTGAAGAAATAATTTAGCTATTTTACGTTTAAATACTATGACATGATAATTTGGAGTTTCATACAAAATATTTCATAGAAAAGTATGGTTTTTGACATTTGGATAAACGTATTAAATTTGTCTAGTTGTAAACTACCGTATTGTTTGATTGTAGCTGTGGCTGATGGCTTGAAAATCACAGTGAAGTCACCGAATGTTAAAAGAATCTTGAAGTTACTGAAACTGAAAATTTCTCGGTGACTTGCCTTATTTTTTGGCGGCTCCACTTAGGCGGAGCGAAGCAGAATGATTCACGATACAGCTTATCCCCCTCATCTACACATTACCTTGGAGTCAGCAGAGATGTGTGGTATAGCGTAGAGTGCTCAAAATTTAAAGCCATAAGTTTACTGTCTATTACTTAGTACCTATATCTGATTAATGACATAACTTTTGAAGTCAAGCGCGTTAGGGATGTCATAGGATTTTTGATAAGTTCCCGATCCCGCGAGATTTTCTGGATAAAAAAGCTATGTCTGTACCAAATTTCACACAAATCGGATGAGTAGCATGAACAGAGAGAGTTACTTTCGCATTTATAATACTAGTTTGGAGACATTTTGCAAGAAAACTCTTAAAATGCCACAAGTATATGGCGGTATATAACTGAACATTTCTATACAATGAACTGATTTCTATCTAGGCGTAGTACACTGGCCATAGAGTGGCCATATTTAGCATTATATAGCTAAGCTCGTAATATGGAGTTAGTTTTGGCGAGTTCGCACGTATGCCGTGCCAAAAGTTTATGCAGATAACGATTGTTGGGTACTGTTCGTCGGTTTATCACACGGAATGTAGACTGATATAGATAAATTATTTATTGAATTTTCATTGCATTTACTATTGGAAAGTTTCACGGGAAAGTTTTTATATATTGTGTGAAAAACTGTGGGCATTGTGGGCATTGTGTAATAAAAAATCTCCATTCCTTACTTCTGATGTACCTACTGTACTGATGTCGTCGTGGCCCGGACGTTAAGGAGCCCGCTTCTCATAAATAAGGGTGTGGATTCGAAACGTAGCAAGTACCAATGTGACATTTTCCGAGTTATATGTACTTTCTATGATTATTTAGACACCACTGACATAGGGTGAAGGTAAACATCGTGAGGAAACCTGGACTTTATAATTTCTAATTATAAGTTTGAAATCGCCAACCCACATTGAGCAAGCGTGGTGATCAATGCTCTAACCTATTCCGTATGAGAAGAGGCATTTGCTAAGCAGTGGGCACTTATAGGCTGATGATAATGATGATTCCTTACTTTACCTATTGTTTGTTATGCGCGTGCAGAAATTGTCACATAGCATTTCTTACTTAGTTCCGTAACTACGTGCTTAACTAACCTATGTGTGACGTCATAAAAGTGCACATAATAATTATTAATTTATAAAATTTGAACTTTGAGAAACTTATGTCCAGCAGTGGATGGAATTAAGGTGAAGTGTGGGAGAGCCATGCTTCGGCACGAATGGGTCGGCTCGACCGGAGTGATACCACGGCCTCACAGAAGACCGGCGTGAAACAACCTCAGCGTTGTGTTTCGCCGTGTGAGTGAGGTTACCGGAGGCCCAATCCTTCCCCGCCCCCAATCCATCCTGAATCCCTAAATCTCCAAATCCCTAATCCCTAAAAGGTTAGCAACGCACTCGAAACTCCTCCGTTGCGGGTGTCCATGGGCGGCGCTGATTGCTTACCATCAGGTAATCCGTGTGCTCGTTTGCCGACCAATTACATAAAAAAAAGATGATGATGATGATGAAATTTCCACGTATTTCTATATTTTACGAGTACTTTACTAGTTCTATACTTAAACAATGACATTTTCTTTATCTCTAGTTATACAAACAGAGTTGGCAACTACACGTAGGTATAAATAATTATAATTACAAGTACAATTTGTAAACCTTTCATTGAATAAGCGGTCACGTTCTCAACCATAGAATTACAGTATCACAAATAACGATGACGTTTCTACGGAAACTACAAGCCTTTGTATCTTTAGGGTGACAGCCCTATCCAGGCTCTATTCTAGGAAAACAAAAACAGATGGCAGGACGTGTCTACCTGAACGACAGTACTATTTCAATGGAATAATAGCTTTGTTATAAGATTTTAGAGTTATTGCTAAGAAGGTTGAATAAATAAAAAACCCAAATTTTCGAAAGCGTGTTTTAAAAGTATTCCCTTTTTTTATGTAAGAGGTCGGCAAACGAGCAGATGGATTACCTGATGGTAAGCAATTAGCGCCGCCCATGGACACGCGCAACGGAGGAGTTACCGAGTGCGTTGCCGACCTCTCCAAATCCCTAATCCCTAGATTAGAGATTTGGAGTTTAGGAACTGGGGAGGGATTGGGGAAGGGGAATGATTGGGCCTCCGGTAACCTCACACGGTAAAACACAACACTGTGGTTGTTTCACGCCGGTTTTCTGTGAGGCCGTGGTATTACTCCGGTCGAGCCGACCCTTCGTGCCGTAGCATGGCTCTCCCACACTTACTCTCCCTGATCATATAAAATGTACTTCCATAAAGATATTTTTTCTTTCATGTTTTCTTTCTGATACGAAGATCTTTTACGTATTTAATGTTACAACCAGAAATCAATTTTGACGAATGTTCAAGTTTCATTGACCGAGATAATTGGCGATATTATAATTATCAGACCAGACCAAACTGTTTAATTTTTGCCTTAGCAACTTTAGCAAGACAACTTAAAAGAAAAAACTTCTACCAACTGAAATTAAAATGGCTCTTATTTTCATTGCAGGTACAAAAAATGGCCGCCATGTTTCCCGTCGCGAACACTTAAGGTTGACACAAGATGAGTCTGAAAAACTTCAACTCGACTTTTGAAGTGGGGTGGAATGACTCAGAAGTATGGGGTGTACCGCAGTTGGATTTAGATGTGTTCTACAGACCAGATGTGGTGATTATAGTGTTGTACGTAGTTGTGTTAACTGCTTCACTGTCTGCGAACACGTTACTCATCTTCATTGTGATCAAGTTCCAGTATATGAGAAGGTAAGTTATATTTCGTAAGGTCGATTTTACTTTGTAGTCACTTCTAACGTGTTTTTTTTTCTGTCTGTATCTTTACAACTTTTCTTAAGGTGTTTTAATTTTGATGAAGATTTTTTTGTTTTGATATTATTTTTGACATGGTTTATACGACCGCGAGATTCGATATTTATTAATCCTTTAGTCAAATTGTTTGTTACAAGCCTGTATGAATTTGTGTAATATGTATTAACATTAGACACAGTAGGCAACAGGTCTAGAGGCCGGAGCTGTCGTGAGTCCCTATGACACAAAGAAAACCTTTTTTTGAAGGAATATTTACTGCCGGTTGTGAGGAAAACGTTTGAAACATAATAAGAATATTCTTCTGTCGGTTGAAGCGTTTTTAATCAACAATATTTCAAGGTTTATTAAAATTTGCAATGAAAATGGGCCTCGAGAATTGTGTATATCCGTGTTTTGGTTAATCCGGGCCGGGAAATATGTAACGGTTTTCCTCAGAGATCATGTTAATTTATCAATATTCTATATTCTGTTTTGTGTTGTTTTTGCTGAGAAAGTTTTGTGAAACGAAACAATAATATTATGTTGTTTACACATATAACAAACAGTAACAGTACTTATTATTATAGTTTCTATGTTTTCCGAATATAAAGTAATGTATTCAAGGTATGCGATACATCAAAATTTTCCATCATCCTACTTCAAAATTCTATTTTTGGTAGAATCACCCGTTGCTGTCGACCCAATTCAACATGTGTACCTATTAAAAAGTAAAAGTTATTTATAAGTTTGCAATACAATCTGAAATAAGTTTATGTGAATCAACAAAATAATAAGCTTTTCTTGACTCTTCAGTACCAGTAAAAATACGGATGAACCAATTACTTGTGGCCGTCCAGAGCTGGACTTTGGGCGTCTACAAGGGTTCCAAAATCATCATGTTTTATGGTGTATAATAATTATTAAGGTAAAGGCACCTAATTTCGCGCTGTTTTTAACATAACACGAAAGAACATTATAAATTAAGTATTTATCGGACCTTTGTGTACAATTTTATATTTTTATTTAATTAAGTGTTAGCTATCAAATTTTTGAAAAATATTTGCAGTTTGTCAGTAGAAGGTTATTGAAGCTGATAAAATAAATAAAAATATAAAAAAGTCCGAGGTACCTTATTCCGATTTAAAAATCGTAATTCCGATGCATTTGGTTCCTAATTCCGAGTATAAAAATAGAAAGGGAACTATGTAGGGAGAATTATACATGATGTTTAAAAGTCAAATCTGTTTATTTTTTATATTACTTAAATCAATTCTGTTTTTGTTTATTCTAGTTTTATTCTAAACCCTGTTTTTTATTAATATTATTCCTTAATCTTATAAAAATATAAAAATGAATTAACAATATCAACATTAAAATCTAATTGTTGCATTACAAAAATAATTACATTATTATTATTTTTGTACTTACAAGTTAAAAGTATAACAATTGCTATAATCATATCAAAATTAGAGCCTATTACGAGATCCAAATTTGTTTATTTTTTATATGAAATCAGTTCTTTTTTTTGTTTATTCTAGTTTTATTCTAAACTCTCTTTTTTATTATTATTATTCCTTAATCTTCTAAAAATGAATTAAAAAAATCGACATTAAAATCTAATTGTATCATTACAAAAATAATGTAAAACTTAAAAGTATAACAATTGCTATAATCATTATCAAAATTAGATCGTATTACGAGATCAGAAACAATTCTTAGGAACTAAAGTTCAACAATGTAGTAAAAGAACATAATTAATAATATCTAAAAAAGGAATACATAAAGTAAAAAAAATAATTTTATTATATTTTTTTACAAACACACACTCCAATTTTATGTATTTGTATAGATGATTAGTATTCTTTCAGTTACTAAACGCGTATCTACTAAGCACATAAAATAATGAACACTCTGTATTTAAACAGGGTCTTAACTAACTTCGGAATTAGGTTCTCATGTAATCTTATTCCGACGTAAATACATCGGAATTAGGTACTCATGTAACCTTATTCCGACGTAAATACATCGGAATAGCGTTTTATGATGCTAAATCAAAGTTTCTAATTCCGAGTACTAAAAAGTAAAAGATTTTTTTAATATTATGCAAATAAAATAATGTAGCCAGCATTTGTGTTTCGAAACAATTAATAGTGATAATAGTGCACAGAGCGATAAATATCCGAAAGTGTTTATTTAAATAAAATATCAGTCGTTCATCTTTCAAAAATTTCAAACTACCGCGTCCTAACGTACAAAAAATAATCGTCAACCATAATAAGACAGACTATTTCGTCACTTATATTAATGCGCGAATAGCTTGATCGCTACAGATGCCCGGTAGTGCAAGGAGTCTCGGGATCAAACCTCGTTCGCACATGCTGCTCTTTTTGTGAATGTTTATATTAGTTTATCGAAAGTTTATTTCATAAACTATAAGATTGTGGCACAATTAGTGAAATACAAGCATAAAAATGAATTTTCTAGAGAACATTACTTTCCGTCGCAACCGCAATAGGACTTGCTCAGATACAGCGCTCAATGACAGCGATATAATCTCTGACACACTTGAGTCTACCGTCAATAGTATGCCAGAACTATCTCAAGACGAAAATGAACAACTTACTTTATTGAAGACTAAGCTACTGGATCTAGAATCACAATTACAAAGTGCACACCACGAAATTGAATTATTGTCTGCTGAGAATTCTCAACTACGAACAGCAAATGAGGACTTAATGAAAAAGAATGAAGTACTCAGTAAAATTACTAGTAGTCCAATCAAACAAAAATACAATACACCAACAAAAAAATCTAAAAAGCACAATTTGGAAACTAAGCAAACACAAACGTGGACAACTAATACTAATAACACGGAAATTAGGTCTACAAAACCCACGATCAAAGCTTCAGCGTTAGAGATCAATAAAAATGAAACACCTACCGTCGTCCAGAAAAGTAAAATATGTATACTAAGCACTAACAATAAAAATAGAATACTATCGACCGCTGAGAAGCTTCTACTAGATAGATACAACATATGTCACTACATAACACCTAATGGTTCAACGGAGCAACTTCTTAACGGGATACAAACAAAGCTGCGTGATTATACAATGACTGATTACTGCATTATATTAATTGGAGAAGAAGATTTCAAGACAACTAGCAACTATGACAACGACATACTTTTAATTCGAAAAATACTAAAACAAGTTAGTCACACAAACATCATAATTTGCTTTCCTACGTACACACTTACCAATTATAACAATCTTTACAACTGGAGAATTGAGACATTTAATAATCTATTATACTTAGACTTAATAAAGCACGAACATGCATTCTATTTAGATTCCAACTATGATTTAACGTTTGATAGTTCTATGTTTAACTTACGAACAGGTGTAATAAATAATAATGGCATTCGAAATATTTTTGAAAATGTACTATTGCTGATAAACTATATAAATTCCAACTTCCAACAAAAATGTAAACTAAACAAAAGTGACACTGCTGTTGTAGATGATAGTAACTCTCTGTTTTTTCGATATTAAATTCCTGAATATTCTACACCAGAATATTGCAGGTCTAATAAATAAGTCTGATATATTATCTATTCATCTGGACGAGCTTAAAGGTAGGAATATAGACATTGATGTACTATGTATTACAGAACATTTCATGTTAGCCGGTCATGAAACAGTTTTTAATCTGCAGAACTATACTCTTGCTGCCACTTTCAGTCGAAGCCAGATCAAAAGAGGTGGAGCTTGCATAATTGTCAACAATATACACAAGTTTAGAGAACTTTCTCAAATAAGCAAATTATCTATTAACAATGTTATCGAGTGTTGTGCTATTGAATTGATAGAATTTGGAATTGTTGTTGTCTGTGTGTATAGAGTACCCAAACAAGGTAATTTGAACATTTTCTTCCAAAGATTTGAGGTAATTCTTGTACATATCTCTAAAATTAAATCCAATAATACCATTATAGCCGGTGATTTTAACATTGATGTATTAAAGTGCAATAATGTAACTTTGGATTTTGAATGTTTACTGTTGAATTACAATTTAAAATTAGCGCTGAGACAACCTACTAGAAAATTAAGTAACACGTGTATAGATAATTTTGCTCATAATTCCCAGAAACCATGTGTAACTGATATACTTGAACTTGGCATGTCGGACCATACAGCACAAGTAATTAAGATACCGGTCAAAAAAATGCTAAGATTAAAACAATGGTATAAGTTCACGCGAGATTTTAGTGTTGTAAATATACAAAAATTCAAAACGTGTATACAAAGTTTGTCTTTTAGTGAAATATACGAAACTGATGACCCAACACTAGCATATAGTAATTTCATAGATACATTTAAACTATTCTTTGACTTATGTTTTCCGGTAAAAAAAGTTTTGATAAAAGTAAATAACAAACCAAAATGGTTATCGCGTGGAATTAAAATGTGTTCTAAAAAGAAAAAAGAGATGCTATGGAATTTTAGGCGTAAACCCACACTTGTAAACAAATTGAATTATATAAACTATTCAAAAAAAATTAAAAAAATTATAACCTTAACAAAACGGGCTCAAAATAATTATAAAATAAATACATCAACTAATAGAAGTAAATCAACATGGCAAGTAATTAACAATAACAAAACTTCTGTACCAAAAGATTCGATAGATAAAATAAAAATTAATAACGCTTTTATCCAAAATCCTACAGAAATAGCGGACGCATTTAATAAACATTTTATTGAAAAAGTACAACCTATCGTTGGTGCAGGTAAAGAATCCACGATAATGATTGGCCACAATACAAACTCCATGTTTATGTCGCCTTGTCTACCGATTCAGATGTTAAGAATTATAAATAATTTAAGAAACACAAATAGTGTCGGTTATGATGGAATACCCACTAAAATAATTAAGTCAGTGGGTAAGGGTATTGCATGCCATTTAAGCCATATATTGAACCTGTGTATAGTAAATGGTACGTTTCCAAAAGACCTAAAGCTTACTATCATAAAACCCTTGCATAAAAAAGAAGACAAATTTTTAATAGAGAACTACCGACCAATAGCTCTTATACCTATATTTTCTAAAATATTTGAGAAATACTTATACACCGAAATCAATAGTTATTTAGAAAAACATAGGATTCTATGTAATAATCAAAAGGGTTTTAGAAAAGGAAATAATATTAACATGGCAGTATACGACTTCTTGTACGATGTATACACACATGTCGACAAGTCCTTGCCTGTTTGCTCAATATATTGCGATATGTCACAAGCTTTTGACTGCGTAGATCATAATATTTTAATAGAAAAACTCTCAGCATACGGTATACGAGGTAATGTATTGGAATTAATCAGGTCTTATTTAACAGGTCGTCAACAAATAACAGAAATAACAAAGTTTAATCCAAAAACTAAAAGGGAACAGACATTTCCATCTCAAAAGCGTGACGTATCCTATGGCGTTCCTCAAGGTAGCGTATTAGGTCCCCTTTTGTTCTTATTGTACATAAACGACCTGCCTTCGGCTACAACAGAACCTATGGTTCTTTTCGCTGACGATAGCACCGTAACTATAAAATCTAAACATATAAATAATTACAATTTCGAAATAAATAATTCATTGTCAAATATAATCGACTGGCTTAATAATAACAATTTAAAAATTAATTTAAAAAAAACTAGTATAATGCACTTTAGACAGCGGGAAAATATACCAAATTCATTACCAATTAATCTAATGTATAACGAATATACTATACAGGAAGTAGACACAAGTCGATTCTTGGGTTTAATTATTGATAGGCAACTTAATTGGAAAAACCATATTGACGGACTGAGTAAAAAAGTCAGCAAGTCAGCATACGCCCTTTACAAATTGGCACCTACTGTTAATAGGGAAACTTTACTCACAGCATATTACGGCCTTGTCGAGTCGGTACTTAGGTTTGGGATTATCTTTTGGGGTAATTCCACTCACAAAGATATAGTCTTCAAACAACAAAAACGTTGCTTAAGAGCTATGTTCGGAATAAAAAGTATGGACAGTTGTAGACCGCTATTTAGAGATCACAAAATTCTAACACTTCCGTCTTTATTCATACTTGAAGTTGCATTGTTTGTTAGAAGCAACTTACATTTGTTTCCGCGCTTATCCGAATATCATGTCAGAAATCGACGTAAAGATAATATTTGCATTCATCCGTCCAGAACTGCATTGTTGCACAAAAGCATAATATGTTTAGGTCCTAAGATTTATAACAAAATACCGAAATCCATACAAGACTTACATTTCAACATGTTTAAAAGTAAACTCAAACGTTATTTGCATAAGAAATGCTATTACACTATAGAAGATTTTTTTAATGACAAAGATTAAATGTTCAATATTCAATGTAAAACATTTAATTATGTGTAATCTGACATATTTTCGTGAATTTCAATATTTTTTTATTTTATTTTTGTTATTATTGACTTAATTAATAGGATTTGACCAATGTTTGTATTTTGACCAATATCCCAACTTGACTAATAATACATACACAATTACTGATATTCCGACTAACAGGCACTGTGTATCAAATTAAAGTTTAACAAAATGTTTCAATAATAGTTTGACTAGGATTTAATAATTTTATGTAATAATTTAGAAATATCTCGTGGCATAATGTGAATTGACATATTTTTTTACTGTAATAATTAAATTTTGCGACTTATGTTAGAATACTGAAGTAGAATACCTAATTTCAAATAATTATCATATATGATTGTACACCTTATACTAGGTATGTTACATTGCTACTAATATTATAAAATAACATCTAATTGTAAACATGTAACAAACAATAAATTAATTTGAATTGAATGCTTTTATAGTTACAATATGAAAGGAAAACAAATATAAAATACATACATATAATAACAGAACACTTATAAAACCTAATGTCTTCACTAAAATCTTCTATACAACGTATTAATAAAGTACCTGTACAAACAATTTTTGACCTGCTATAATTAGTAAATGCGACGCCACGGTGTACCTCGGAAATAGATTATTAAATGTATGAGTTATTCATTAAGTCAGAACTAACACATTAAAGTTTATAATCATAAAACAGACACCGAAATTTAAAAAAACTAAATGTCTTTAAATTTGTTTTTCCGTGGTATACATCGGCTTTTAGGAACACACTAAAATATTTTGCACCTAATGCCGCGGTATTTTAAACACTTATTTTCTTGCTAATTTGCAAATAAAATACTCAAATCTTAAGTGTTTTCGATAAAAAATATTATCCTTTCAATATTTCAACCTAAACAAAAACTCGCGTTGTATAAAATTATTACGTAAAACACTATTTGGCAAATCGTAATACTCACGTGCATAAGGTCCCAAATGTATGAAGTGTGCTTTCGACGCCGCTCCCCGCGGCAAAATGACCGATTATTTTACAGTGTGACCATACTAAACTCTCCTTTGTATAAATAAATATGAACAGATAATTATTAATTCATTATTTTATCATGCAGACCATAAATAACTAGTAAATTGCTTTAAAAAACTGTTTTTCTAAATACATCGGAATATGATGCCATTTTTAGAACCCCTCGGAATAAGGTGCATTTACCTTAATTTATAAAATTTGAAATTTGAGAAACATCTGAAATTGATTATGAAATTGCCACGTATTTCTATATTTTACGATTACTTTACTCATACAATTAAATTATCTCTATCTCTAGTTATACAAACAGAGTTGGCAATTACACGTAGGTATAATATATATAATAAGTACCAGTAAAAATACGGATGAACCAACAACTTGCGGCCGTCCAGAGCTAAACCTTGGGCGTCTACAACGGTTCCAAAATCATCATGTTTTACGGTGCATCATAGCAGTATAATTTTTCATAAAGAACCTACTTGTCGCTATATGTTAATGTATAAATTACAATGTTCACATTTATCTTGTCTGTAAAATATTTAGTCCTAGTTTTGGTCAGCTCTTAAAAAACTACCATTATTGACTAACCAGCTTTAAGTAAGCTGTATTGCCAACCCTATGTGTTGTATTTTTATACTAATATGATAAAAAGGTTAAATCTTTGGAATTGTTTATAGGATCAATTTTTTCAGTAAAACATTACGCTACGATCTATAGCCGATTCTTCGATATACCGCAGCG